AGCGAGGCAGAGTGGAGAAGGAGTAACGGTTCGCACTTTTGACTGCTAGGACCGAACGACGCCGTCTAATGCCGTCTAACTGCTGTCGGGGCGGCCTGGAGTGCCACGTATGCGAAAAAGGGCCCCACCTGTCATAAACTCACTTAACTCGGCCCGATCCGCCGATCAGTGTTTTTTGCAAAACAATTACGCTAGACGTGGTGCTTTCTGCAATGATTCTGTATCCTAGTGTTTTTCACAGACCTAGCCCTGAAAGTGGTGGTTTTATGCAATTTACTCAAAAAATTGTATGCATCAGATAATAGATGTGGGAAGCTTCCCAAACATAAACTCCCACTCCCAAAATGTTCATGTGTTAGTGGCTAATGTTTGGCAGCATGGATTACTAGCTAACCCGAGGAACCATCTCACTAATGCAACTTCCATTTAATTTGGTCATCCAAGGTTCCCATAAAGGTGAAGATCTTTGCTTGGGTGCTTTTCTCAGATCGCATAAAATCCAACGAAAACTTGTGTCACAAGAATAATATGAACTCGACGGCTTGCCCCTGGTGCTACATAATTGTTGAGGACACCGCACACATTGTCCTACTTTGCCCCTCGGCGGCTCAACTGCGGCTGGACCTTGCCATCCCGGATCCACCGTCAATGGACCTCATTTGGGATGCTATCCCGGATCTTGCCATCCCGGATCCACCATCAATTCAAATACATGGAACTCGGTGCTATTCAATATCCTATGTAGGAGTAAGAATCTAGAAACGCGATAGTTTTCTATGGTGAATCTCACAGCTCACGACCTACGTACCAACTACCATTAGGAACATTGTACATGATTTATCTCTTTGGACTTTCGATTCTCTGATCAGTCTGAAAAGGTTGCAACCATATCATGGTGGTAATATCTTTCCTCGTGTCACGCCACTACTAGGGTGTCTTTGGTTGCCTGGCTATCGTTCATTGGACAAGGGATAGCCACTTAGCTCTCCAAATCTCTCTTCCGTGAGTGGCGACGGCTGCAGATGAAAGCATCGACGGAGCAACGACGTGGCAGAGGAGGCATGAAGGGTCGGTCCACTGATCTGGTCGTGCCCCCCTCCTCCTTGGAAAAGCGGCGCGCGCCGGGCGGAGGAGGTAGTGCCGGCAGAGCTGGCGGCAAACCGGCGCGTGGGCGCGACTAGAGCGGAGCACGACTAGCGGAGCGGAGCGCGCGGGCTTGACTGGACTGGCCGAGTGTTGCCGTGCGTGGTGTGCAAGTGAGATGTGCGTGTGTGGCTTTCTGCTCCAATCTCAGATTTTCTTGTTGGTTTTCTGATGCAGGAGCTTCAAGAAAACAAGGGACTACGCGAGCTAGATGCATAACGCTGTCTTTGATTTTCTTCAATTGCTATCCTCAACGCTTCATCCTTCAAACCAAACATAATAACCTCCGTTCCACAATGTAGTGCGTATAGATTTTTTGAAAAGTCAAACTTTATAAACTTTAACCAAGTTTGTAGAGAAAAACATATATATCTAGAATACCAAATACATATCTTTAGATACACCATAAGACGTACTTTTATATTGTATATATTTGGTATTGTAGATATTAGTTTTTTTCATAAACTTGGTCAAAGTTTGTAAAGTTTGAATTTCTAGAAAATTTATATGCACTATATTATGTAACGGAGAAAGTATGGGTTAACCTCATCTATCCAACCAAAGAAAAAAAAAGGATACCATGAACCAGCTGGTTGGAATACCAAACCTCCAACGTTGTCCGTTGAACCAAACACACGAATTTTAAGTAAAGCTCTCCCACGCCCCCGGTGTGATTGTTCAAAATAAAAACAAACCCGAAGGGATCCTAGTCATATATACATACCTGAGGTCGAGGGCATTATTAAACAAAACTCGAATTTGGAATACAACACAACGTTCTTATAAAGTTTTCTTAAAAAACGTAAATTTGGAGTTTCTCACAAGTAATTCACAAATGTAGCCTAATCTCTTCTCTATCTCTACTACCTAAAACAAACGGAAGGTTCCGTCTCCCCTCTTACGTTGTCCTTTCGTCTGTCCTCTCCCCGATTCTCCCACGCACAATCACCGCGTCTGAAATTACGGGGACGCAATTTCTCATCCAATCTGATTTTAAGCCCTCCCTCCCATCTCCGCCCGTGGGCGCTGCCTCCTCGCCTCAGCACAGCCGCCACACATACCCATCCGAGCACGCCTCCCATACTCCTCTCTTGAAGCCGCCACCGCCGTCCCTACCTCCTCCTCCGCCAGGTGCACATCAGGGTGAGGCCCTGCTCCCTCTCTTCGCAATGATGGGAGACATCAGTGGTGGCCGTGGATCTGGCGGCGACGTGGACAGATTCCTCCTCTCTCTCCCCATGTTGCTCCAGCAGGTGCAGCGCGCCTCGAGGTGCTCGCGGGTATGGCTGCAGCAAACGCCGGTTGGTCGTCTTCGAGGCTGTCCATGCATGAACCACCTAGGCGAGCGAGCAGAGACGAGCAAGCGTATTCCTGCAGTTGAGCCTCCCCGCCTCCAAGCTGTGTCCTAGATGAGGTCGTCGCTCCTTCGATCTGTACCCTAGCTCGCCTCCGTCTGTAGGAGACCTACCTCGACAAGGTTGTGGGTCGCCTGCTCCAAGTACAAGGACGCAGGTGAGGTAGGCGACCACGATGCTGCACATGGTGGCGTCGATGCTGGAGTCCCTGAATGACTATATAGCTCTTTATTATCTATGTTGAATGACTGAATGGTGACGCTATACTGAATCTGTTAACTCCTCAGCCCTTCACCACATTGTTTGTTTTGATATTCTATAGTACCGGGATTAAGTTACCTAGATTCAGAAGTTACTTTAATAGTTTGGGTGGCTGGGTACTTCCTGTATGGAGCATAGTTTTCTTAAATCCCAGCTTTCTTGCTGCACGTAGCTGTCTCAGTTCATATATACCTAGCTACATTTTACTCGTACATCATATAGGATGCAGTCCAGGTTAGGAAAAGGAGGCCTTATAGTCCAAGACAATATTTTCTCAACTCTAGGCCAACTTTGCTACTAATGAGAATCATCGACAAGTTGCATTTTTCCTTGTGGGTATTAGGAACTGTTCAATACTTCTGTTTAACATGCTCAAGTAACTTTGTAGCATAACAAGAGTCATCTTATCTTATGGAGTACTTCAAACTTTGCTTGTATTCTTGAGAATTATATTAAGGACCTGACACTTGGAATCTAATCTATCCTGAATCTCGCATAGGAACGATTTTCCAGACTGAAGATAGTAAAGTGTGTAGGTCCATTCTTACAAGTTGACGATCCTTCTCTTGGACACCAACCCTGTAATTCTGTATTTGGGAAATACATTGTTTGCGTGATTGACAGGTAAGGTATGCAATAGCACAGCTCTTTGAATTACAATGGCAATATATTTTATAAGACAAGTTATAGTTTCTCAAGCTGCATCCTTCCCTTAGAAAATTAAATTTCCAACATGGAATAGCTGCAGTTGGTGCCGGCAAACATTTTAGGTTACAAATTCTTTTGCTTTCAATATTTATGTGGTATTAACAGGTGTACAACAACTAGATAGGGGGAGAGGAATAGAGAGGGGGGAGGGGGGCGGTGGTTATTTAACATGCATGAGGATCATAAGTATATGTTTGACACAATTGATGTTGAACCACTAGATTTGTATGTCCGGCATGATTGATATTTGAACCACTAGAATTTGTATGTCCGACATGATTTGAAGCACTAGAATTTGTATGTCCTGACATGATTGATGTTTGAATCGCTAGAATTTGTATCCCGTTGCAACGCATGGGCACTTAGCTAGTGTACTATAACAACTGACGATACAGGTTGTGTTGGCGGCGCATGCAAGTAGGGTGATGTATGAACTCTGAAAAAAAAAAACTAGGGTGATCTATGGCTTAATGTGATGAGGTGAGAGGTTGAGGCAAGGCAACATAAACAATCGGCAGCTCCTGCTCATCCATCACCACCTTACCGGCCATCCTTGGTTTCTCGAAGTGCTCAGCGTCAGCGATATCGCTGTCTGGTGCAATCAGATGGTCGTCCTCCCTCACCCTTCTGCTCTGCACAAGGAACACGTCATTGCACTGCATGTCCGGTGGCGCCGCGGCTTCCCCCCATGCTCGCATCGTCACGACGATGTAGCGCTTGGACCGCGGCAGCACGGTGCCTTCTTCTGGTTGCGCGTAGTACTTGTCCTGGTTCATCTTCACGTTGAACACGATAGTGTCACCCGTCATGTTGGTCAGCTGCAGCACGCACCGGACCTCCTTGTTCAGCTCCAATGGGAACCGTAGCTCGAGAGGGTCGATTACGGCACACATTTTGGACTCAGGCTCGGAGTCCTGCGTGCATGGAAGAAAGAGATTAATTAGTTCGCGCTTCATTTCACAATCTTTTGCAGGATATCTGTATTTCGGCTTTCTGAAACTAATTGTATGATCCAAATCAGAAATCTCTTTTTAATTGTATATGATCCGAATGATCAGGTTCATTTGAAGTGCGGGCAAGGAAGCATGAAACAAAACCCAACAAGAGCCAAATTATTACATACCTGGCTTGTGGATGACCTTTTCATGGTATCTATCTTTCTGAGCTCATCGACAATCTCAGTTATGGTAGGCCTTAACACTCGGTCTGCCTCCACACATCTTAATGCTATTTCGATGCATTTGTTCACTTCCTGTGATGTATGCCACGGCATTGGCTGGAGCCTTTTCCCCCAATTTCCACGTACCTATAGAAATGAAACTTCATTTCGTTTAGTATAAGGTACAACAAAAGTACTTCAGATTTGAAAATATCAATTTATTTCCAGAATACAAAAACCGGTATTCTTCTTACGAGCTCAATAAACTCTTGTGCAGTACTCATATCTGCAAACTTCGAGTAGCCTAGAGGTCCTGCCATAATCTGAATGATTATAACACCTAAGCTGAATACATCAAACTTCGGAGAGATTTTTCACTTCTCGATGTATTCCGGTGGCATGTACCCACTGCATGGTATGAAATTGATTATTATCACTATTACTATGAAAAGGCGATAGAATAACCTATTTTCTCAGAATTTACATCAACTTACGGTGTCCCTATAAACTTTTTTGTTGTAAAGGTTTCTGTCGAAGCGAAGAGTCTTGACAACCCAAAATCTCCAATTTTTGGTGTCATATGTTTATCCAACAGTACGTTTTCAGGTTTCAAATCCAGATGGTAAATAGAATCTTTGGATCCAGTATGAAGGTAATCTACACCTTTACAAATTCCTTTAATAATTTCATAACGTGTATTCCAGTCAAGTCCACATGATTCATCTGTAGAAGACACATAAAGTATTGTATTATTAAGAAGAAAATATTTATGTGGATAAATTTTCTTTCATGCAAAATATATATTAGTATAGTGTAGGTGTATATATAGACATACCGGTGTATATATAGACATACCGGAAAGATGTTTGTCAAGGCTCCCAGCCTCAAAATATTCAAAGCAGAGAGCTCTTTCTGCCATCTCAGCAAAACTAAATCCTCCATTGTGCTCAAAATGTTTATATCGGATCTCGTAGCAGTAGCCTACTAGTCGTACGATATTTTGATGGTTTACTCTCATAAGGTTGTTGAACTCCTTCTTAAATTGCTCGTCATCAAGTCCTGGCATGTGGTAAAGCTTCTTCACAGCAATCGTTTCCCCATTATACAATCCCTGTTAAACACATACATTAAAATTCAAATAGCCGCTAGGGGCTATAATTTATTGGCAAAGAAAGCCAGACAGAGTTACAAAGAATGAGTTCAACGAAAAAAAAAACGTGAGGGGATTTCAGAAGCAATACCTTGTAAACTTCTCCATAGCTACCACGACCAACTTTGTGCTCCTCGGAGAAGTGATCAGTGATTTCTTCCAGCCGTCGAAATGTAATATCCGCGGGCGTCGAACCTGTTTGCTCTGACTTGCTGGCCATGATGTTCTATATCTCCTACTAGGACAAGGACTAGCTAACTTCGAGGTCCTGTCTATCTACACATTGTAAGAACACAGAAATCCCTTCACATGATCAACAAACGGAAGCTACAAGGAATTCAGACGAATGTACTGAAGAATAACCAGCAGATGAAGGACACAAACTTGAGCATGCATAGAAGTAATCACGCACTAACCTGGAGAAAGAGAGAGGACTGGCCTGCAGAGGTTGGGGGTGTCGTGGAGGGCCGGAGGGGGTGCGTTGTGCGTTACGAAGGAGGGAAGGAGGAGAGGCTAATCAAGTAATCATGTAATTATTATCGCTAATCAGGAAACCGTCTACCCAGCTCGATTGCATCAAGTTGAGGTTAGGTAGGAGCCAGTGGGTTCAGAAAAATATTTTTCGATCTCGAACCGAGATTGATACCCCCTACGCAACGAGCAGTTGACTTGACCCCAACGTGTTCGGTTCCCAGCCAGTGGTCGGCTGTTTCTAGCGGCCATGAGCTTGAGCTACTTGCATCCGTACGCTGTATTCTATTTGCAGAAACACCGGCAAAGTCTGCGCTCCCTGGCAATGCGTGGAAGTGCATGCATGATAGAATGACCGTGAGTAACAAGAAAGGTGTAAAAGAAAGGCGTTTTTTTATCTTTATTACTGCCATGCTACAAATGCCCGGATTTTTAGAAATATTGTCGATGCCAGGCATATACTAGTAGAAGATAAAAGAGGGAGGCCGTGTTATGAGGACGGCAGGGGCTAAACATCTATACCAGGATCTTTGATGCCGCGAGAATAATTGTCTATTACCCCGATCACTTGATCACGTTATGTTTGTAAACTCTTCCTTAATTAACGCTATGAGGCAAAGTTTTTGCCTTCAATTTCGGAAAAAATGCTAGCTGCTGATTAGCGTGTCAACACTTATTTTGGGACGGAGGGAGTACCATTTTAGTTGTTCCGTTGCCCTTTGAAGCATATTCATTGTTAGTGCCTTAATTAACTAGGATCGGATATGCAAGCAACTCGCTTAACCGTGCCGGCACGAAAGTTCCATATACGTGAACCGAGCAGCCGCAGCTATTGACTTTATATAAAAAAGTATGCGGTCAACTGTTGGGGGTCTATACTTTTGGAAAGGATTTGGGCCGCATCAGCTTTGCAACTAACCAAAATTAACCTACTGTCCTTACTTAAAGCCCCTTGGCGATCACCGTGACCTAGCTACCCTCTCTGGTCCACGATACCGAGTACAAGTTGCATAAAAGGAGATCGAGTGCAAGCAACATGAACAGTGTTCCTCATTTCCGTGCGCACTGCACAGCGTTACAGCGCATTGATAATACCAGCATATAGCGCGCCACAGTCGGGTGCGGATTTTTGGAGGCCGAGCTCCAGTGAGCTCGGTATTTTGAAACAAATTTAAAAGCATATTTAAAAGTTCCAAAAAATTCTGAAAAAAATCTATGATAACATATATGTATTCCGCAAGAACGTGTTAAATTTCGTCGAAAAATGTTGTGATTTGTAGGCTGTACAAAAATAAAAAATTTCTCGCCCAATAACAAAATTAAAAGGCCCATTAAAAAATGTGTATTTGTCTTTTTTCTGTACGCGACATGTAAACATATAATACTATGAAATTTTGCTTATATGTAGTATACATGTGCATTCGTGTTCAAAAAATAAATTTAGAATTTTCCGGGCTCAAAAAATTAAAATTTGAAAACGAGCTCACTGAAGCTCGGCCTTCGTTGGCATTTTCCGGCCACAATCCACATACACGCATCCGCCACCGACTCCTGCCAAAACTGCCTGCGCGCCTCCGGTTTCGCTGCCGCGCGCTACGTGCACAAGCCCAACGACTCTTGAACAAACGAAAACAAATACACCTACATGGTGTATTTGCCCACGTCAAATTGCATTTGTTTGTTTGCGGATCAACCTATGGTCGAATGGTTAAAAGGACTGTGGTATTCCCAGCCCATCAGGGTTCAAGTCTTGATGCTCGCATTTATTTCTAGATTTTCGGTGATGCGCATTCAGTGGGAGGAGACTTTTCTGTCGACAACGAGGTGCCTATTGCGACTTCGTAAATTTCAAGATGATATGTCGGCTCAGTTTTTCGGAGGTGCTCATAGGGGTAGGGTGTGCGTGTGTGGATCCCCCTGGGTGAGTGTATGCGCGTGTATATGAGCACTTGCGTCTGTAACATGTTCAATTTTTTTTTTGCATTTGTTTAACTAATCCATCGATTCAGTCTTGTCTTAAGTCTTCCATGTAATTTAAAGATGACAGTAAAAATACGTCTATAATGGGTTGTCTCATAGCCTTATCTTAAATATTAGTTATTCATAAAATGCCATGAGACATTTGTGCTAAGGGCATCTACAACGCCGACCCTCAAACCACCCGCATACGTCCGGACCGCGCTGTCTCCCGCAAACCAGAGACAAACATGGGCGGACTTTGTGGGCGTCCGGACACCACCCACTCCCGCTTCTGACCGCCTTGACGCACCCAAACCTCCTGCTCCCTCGTCCGCGCACGTTCCCGCCCAGTGCCATATGCCCACATTCATGTCGCTGTAGAGCATGACGCTTCACATTGAAGATGGCTCAGGGCGGACGCGACCTCTCACTGCCTACTCCATAGAAGCGGCGCGCCGGCCGAGGCGCCGCCCACTGCATGCCCGGCTGAAAACGCCTTCACTAAACTCGCGTGGAAGTGGAGAAATCTACTCCGGCCACACGTCCGTTCACAAGCGTTCCGGCATTAAACACAATGTCGGGCAAGCTTCTCCCATCCGCCCGCTATTTAAAGGAGGTCAGAGGCCGGGGAAGAATCGCACCACTCCACCGCTCCCCATCTCCTCCTTCCACCATTTTCTCCACCCTTTCGGTGGCATCCGACGAGCAGGAAGAGTAGTTCTCCGGCATAAAAGCCGGCTTGGTAGCCCGCCGAGCCCGCCAGATACGAGCGAGACAACTCACTACTCCGCCTCCAAGCCAGACGGAGCAAGTTGCCGCTCCAAGCTGGCGTGTGGTTCAGCAACTCACCACTCCAAGCCAGCTCGTGGAAGAGTGGCAAGTTTCTCCAGGTCGGCACGGGCATTGTCGCTACCGTGGACGACATCATGTCGTACCACGCCTCCCGTGCCTGCGACCGCGCCATCCGCCGTCAACATGCACGTAGTCGCGCCTTGCCGGTAGAGAAAGAAGCCGGTTGCGCGGAGATCAACGAGTTGGAGGCCAGCGTGCTGCGCCCGCCGCCATCATCGGGGAGAAGTAGAACACGGGAGGCCACGGCCATTTGGGTCCCATGAAGGCCACATTAGACGAGAGCTACTAAAAAATACACAATATGAGCTTCATATTCACCACATTTTTCTAATCATGCTTCATAAAAATGATGGCAACATCTTCATACCTTTTTTATGAAAAAAATACCCCATATATTAAGTAATTAAAATGTTATCACAATCATTCGTTATAGCATGCACCACACAGGGTGAATAACTATTTAGAAGAACCATCAGACCTACTGTCGGAGCTAAACTTCGCAATCTCATGTGCCACCTCATTGGCAAGCCGGTTATTTTTAGAGATCTTAACATTCAAACAACCAAGAAATACTAAAAGCCTCATTCTTTAGATCAACAAAAGGAGATATGTCAAGATTTTGATTTGCAAGGAACGCTTCTACAAGGCAAGTCCGAAGTTCAGCTTCATTCGCACTGGTACACCGTCCAATAATGTCCCAAGAGTAAATGATGATTTCGCTAGAAGAGTTTCTAGCAACAACTGTTGGAGATATGCCCTAGAGGCAATCGTGTACGATGATATTTTCTATGTGTTTATGAATAAAGATAGTCCTTGAACATTATCAATGATGTGTATCAACAAGTACGTGACTTGTTTGTGGGACTATGCATTGTATGATGACTGTTCTAAAAGGTCCCTAGTCGAAAGGGCTGTGGAGACGCGCAGCCGAGTAGACTAGCATATGACACGGTCGATGGCTTGGTCTCACAAGCCATGAAGCATTGGATGCTAAGCAGATAATATGAACTCGAAAGGATCTGGTCGGATTCGACATAGTCGGATCCGAGTGGAGATAAGGTCCAAGTCGGCCAGACCCGACTATGAGACGCAGCAATATGTCATCTGTGAGTCTCTAGTACAACATATGTTCCATGTCCTAAGACCTGAGCTGGCGCATGTACTCGGGATGGTGACGGACTTGCTTTGGGCCAACCAAACGCTACTCGTGACTGGGTAGTTACATAGGTAGGTTTCGGGCTTGTCCTGTCCCATGCTGCGAGACATGGTCGATCAAGATGAGATTTGCCCCTCTGATCAGGAGAGATATACTCTGGGCCCCTCGTGTGATCTGACAAAGATAATGTTGGAGAATGTTGCATAAAATAAAAAATTTCCTACGTTCACCAAGATCAATCTAGGAGTTCATCCAGCAACGAGAGAGAGGAGTGCATCTACATACCCTTGTAGATCGCGAGCGGAAGCGTTCAAAAGAACGGGGTTGAGGGAGTCGTACTCGTCGTGATCCAAATCACCGGAGATCCTAGCGCCGAACGGACGGCACCTCCGCGTTCAACACACGTCGGTCAGCGAGACGTCTCCTCCTTCTTGATCCAGCAAGGGGGGAAGGAGAGGTTGATGAAGGTCCAGCAGCACGACGGCGTGGTGGTGGATGCAGCAGGGATCCCGGCAGGGCTTCGCCAAGCGTCCGCGGGAGGGAGAGGTGTAGCAAGGGGGAAGGGAGGCGCCAAGTGCAAGGGGTGCGGCTGCCCTCCCTCCCCCCTCTTTATATAGGGTCCCCAGGGGGGCGCCGGCCCTAGGAGATTGAATCTCCAAGGGGGGGCGGCGGCCAAGAGGGTGCCTTGCCCCCCAAGGCAAGTGGAGGCGCCCCCCACCCTAGGGTTTCCAACCCTAGGCGCAGGGGGCTCAAGGGGGGCGCACTAGCCCACCAGGGGCTGG